GGTCTGCAGGTAGGACAGGTGTAAGAGGTGTGCTGCCCACAGCCACCCCATCCCACCTACAGGAATCCCTCCCAAGCTCGACTGTTAAAACATGGCCCCTGACCCCCTGTCCAGACATCTATCTTTGACCATCTCAGAGTGACTAGGTCTTTGACGGGACGCTAACCTCATGATCTAAAGAGACTGGTGCACAGGAATGAGTCACTTAGCCAAACCTTACAAACCTGCCTAGCTTCACTCACCTCGGCAGCTTCAAATTTCTTCACTTTAATAATATAATTAACGGGGAAAACTATGTAAAATTGGTACTCCTGAATTTGGAATCACAATCCCAGATGTATCACTCACAATTCAAGGGTATAACCTAAACATCTACTGGCCCCCATTACAGATCCTGACAAACCTGATTCCTTTCCACCTTCTGAACATAACACACCCTCTCTGGCCTTGACATTTTTCTATGTGCTACATCTTTTGCCAGGAACATCCTTTCTCTTGTCACCTTCCTAGTGAATTCCTTTAGGCTCAACTCAAGCACCCCCTGCGCTCTGACCCTCTTTCTCCCTCACCCCTAGCCTTCCTAAGCACTAGTCCTACAACCCTGAACACAACCTACTTCCTTCCCCACACTGCACTACCGGCATTTCCAAAGCAAACTTTATATTCCTAAAAGTAGTAAATGTATTTCTTCCGGAAAAAGAAATTAAGCCCTGGCCGGTTTGGCTCAGTGGATAGTGTTGGCCTGCAGACTGAAGGGTCCCGGGTTCAATTCCAGTCAAGGGCACATGCCTGGGTTGCAGGCTCGATCCCCAGTAGGGGGCATGCAGGAGGCAGCCGATCAATGATTCTCTCTTATCATCGATGATTCTCTCTCTCCCCCCCTCCCTTCCTCTCTGAAATCAATAAAAACATATATATACATAAATATAAAAGAAATTAATATAGCCCTGACCAGGTAGCTCAGTTGGTTAATGGCGGCCTGATACACCAAGCTTGAGGGTTCGATCCCCAGTCAGAGCACATAAAAGAATCAATGAATCCATAAATAAGCAGAACAAATTGATGTTTTCCTCTCTCTCTCTCTCTCTCTAAAGAATCAATATTTTTTTTTTTAAAGAGAGAGCAATGAATAAACCATAAAATGTAGAGCCCAGTTCATTTGTGAAACTCTGACTGAGCTGCCTAAGCAGCTGCAATCCAGGATGCTCTTAGGGGCATGCACACCCTCAAATCCACAACTGCTTGCCTGTGGGCAGCCTCCCCTCCCCATCCAGCAGCAATAGCAGCAGTACATCATTTGTCCCAATCCTGTGCTCTAAATCCTTTGCACACCCACCCTGGGGACCCTATACACATAATCTGCCCTGTATTTTCAAGCCTAAGTTTCTCTGATCTCAACACAAAAGGCCTCCTTTACAACCACTATGTCATAACCAAACAAAGTATTTTCGTATTTTGACAGAGATTGAATTCAAAGATTTTTGTTTACATTTGTTTTCTTTTCTTAGTCAAATACTACTCAGTCCTTTTCAATTAAGATCCTGCACTCTACTCCACCAAATAATGATTCTGCCAGGATGGCCTCCATGTTTTTATGCTGCAGAAGCCCTTAAGTTTCAGGTTACCTCATGGAGTTCTTAAGCAGCATCTAGCATTACTGACCACTTCCCTCTCCTAAAATTATTGTCCTTCATTCATAGGGTCCTGTCCTGCTTGATCCCTATCTGTTGATCCTTCACCTGAAGGTACTATCTCAGGCCCTCATCACTCTCCCTCAGGCAATCCCGTATCTTTTTCTTATTTTTCTACTTGTGACTTGCATGTGTTGTTGCCCTGTGCTAAAAACTCACAGGTAGACCTCTATCCCTGATCTCTTCCTCTCCAAATGAATTCAGATATCCAGCTGTCTACCAACATCTCTGATCACCCCCACCCACAGACCACAAACTCAACTTGATCCAGTGTTTCCTACCACTCAATGGATGGTACCACACTATCACCTCACCTACTAAACCCTAAAAACCTTCCTGGGAGGCATGACTCTCATCGCCCTCTCCCAGGTCAGTGTATGTCTTGAATCTGCCCACACCTCTCCCATCTCCACAGCCAGACTGAGCCACTACCGACACATCCTGGATTAGCTGAACCTACTGCATTCACACTCACCCCTATTCCAAACCATACTCTTCCCCTAATAGCCAGATCTAAACACTGAATTAGAATTTTGCTTAAGTCCCACAAAGGCCTCTTCTTGTCCTTAGGCTAAAGCCCAAAACTCAACCCCTGGCTTACATAGCCCTGCATGATCCAGCCCATGTCCATCTCTCGACCCCATTTTACCTCACATGACTGGTTTCTGTGCTCTCCCACAATGGTCTTCCTTCAAGTTCTTTTACCTCTGTCCAGTTCTTCCTACTTCATGGCCTTCTACACAGTTCCTTTTTCCAAGTCTCCCCCTCCTACTTGTTATTTAGCTCCCATTTGTCAATTCCCACTCATTATCCCTTAGACCAGTGGTTCTCAACCTTGGCTGCACATTAGAATCACCTGGGAATCTTTTTAAAATCCTGATTTCTGGGCCTCATCTGCCTTAGACCACTGCCTTAGACCAAGCATGTCAAAATCTCGGCCAGCTGAACCAAGATTTTGACATGCTTGCCTTAGACTAAGTGTACTAAGGATCCATCTTCCAACACTCCTCACTCCAGGTCAGCATGGGAACTGTGCTTGATTTATTACTAACATCCCAGGGCCCCAGCACCTACCTATTTGCAGAATGCATAACCTCAGGAATGTTAACCTGACCCTTAGTCTCCCAAAATGGAAGCGGACAACACCATCTATTCTAAAGAATAGTTGTGAGATTAATGAGGCAAGAAAAGCATCTCAGCCCTGTGCCTGGCAGAGGGAAAAAACATTTATCAGCTCTGCATTCCTGACATCTAATAGTTGACTAAGCACAAAACAGGTGGTCACACCTTCAAGGCTGAGTCTAACTCCTCCCATTTGTAGACAAGGAAACAAACACTGTAGAGGGAAGGAATCAACCATCAGAGCATTTTGCTCTCCAATGACCACCCACCTTTCCATGACTGTCCCCGCTTTCTGGCGGTTCTTCCACCCCACCCCCAACCCTCCAGCCTGGCTCTTACTGGGGGGCTGTTCTAGGGTCACTACAAGGGCCTGGAGGGCATAGAGTGCCTGCAGCTCCTTCTGCTCATCACATAGGTATTTCTGTAGCAGTTTCGCTCGTGCTTTCAGCACTGCAACATCCACTCGGAGGGTAGTCTCAACTACGGGAAGAAAGACAGGGATAAGTGGGATAATGCAACCTCATTCTGGTTCAGAACTAGGGGGCAAAGACCAAAACCTCCCTCCCTCCATTTGTCTGTTGGGCCCACCCTTGCCCCACCATCTCCCTGGCTCCTCTTACAGATAATTGCGGAATAGCAGACAGTTTTCATGAGGGCTCGAACTAATGTGTTGGATGCTACCTGCTCCTCAGTCAGGTTGGCCTATGCAGGAAAAAGAAAAACATATGACCCATAAATTCTGAATTTTGCCCCCATCATCACACCAGAACAACTTCTCCTTTATCCTGCTCTCCTGATATCAAAAGAAACGTACCTCTATCCAGTCAAACACCTGCTGGTTACTACTGTCCTCCTTGAGCAGCTTCTCCAGCTGCCTGCTCAGCTCCTCAGAGGAGAGCAACCTCTGGCCAGGGGCTTCTGACTCCTCTCCCAGGGTATACTCCACCTTCTGCAAGCAAAAGAGCCCATAGGAAGAGGTAAGTGTACCACGTCA